TTTTTTTTTTTTTTTTTTTTTTTTTTTTTTTTAATTATTCCTCCTCACTCCTCAGTGGAACTCACTCACTACTCACTACTCACTACTCTCTGTAGGAAGTGGATCGATTACTTGGACGGCTAGGATTCGTTGAGGGTCTAAAATTCAGCGTGGACGTGACATACATGGAATTCCTGCTACGTGTGAAGCGCGTGGAGGAAGATGCAAAAGCCAACGGCATCTGGGACGCACCCCACCCATGGCTCAACCTGTTCGTCTCCAAGTCCAACATCGCTGAATTTGATCGTCAAGTGTTCAAGAAAATCCTCAAGCACGGTGTTGGTGGCCCCATTCTAGTGTACCCTCTATTGCGAACCAAGTAAGTACTTGTACAATTACCATAATTTTTTTCTGTTACCTTACTTAACTCGTTTTCTTTCACCATGAAAATATTTATTCAAGCATTAATTAGTTGGGCAGGCCAGATTTGGCAAAATCTTCTCTTGCCCTTGTTGAGGGGATACGAAGCTAGGTGGTAGTAGCAGCTACATTACATACATACATACATTCATTCATTCACGTCAGTCTCTAATATTAATGCGTTTGTTGGGTTGGTTGTGTTGTGTGAGCTTGACCTTGACATGAACTCGTTTATTAATATTGTTACGTTATGACAAGGTTTAAAATTAGCAACATGAATGGCAATTTTCTCTGGGGTTGACACGAAATAGGGGTATGGGTAGGGGTCCCACATGGCACCCAGTGTGACCTGTAAGCCACGTATGTGATTCACCTGAGCTGAGCCCTTAATTTGTTTCGCCACAAATTAGATAATTGTATTTACATAATCGATTATTGTTATTAATAAAATTGAAAAAATGGGAATTAGGACTGGACCACAAATTGTAAACGGGGTTGGGGGTGGTTAAGATCTTGAGGGTGGGTAAGGTGAAGCCAAAGTGGGACCCGCACCCATACCCATCTTGCGGTCGTACCTTCTTACTCTGGGGGTCTCCGTACAGTATCAGCCCTATCTTCCTATTCATATTCACTCCTTGCTCTCGCGGTTGGCGCTTGAGCAAACTTGAAAACCTGTTCCTCTGGGATGGGACACCGTCCTAAGTGGGTGGGTGTATGTGTATGGATGAAAATCGATGAATTTAACTTTTATGTACTCTCTTTGTCTCTTTGCTTCAAAATCTTCACTGACAAAGACCTCAAATGAACTCTCCTATTATAATAGTCGTAGTCGTAGTCGTAGTCGTAGCTACTTTCTAATTAATTCATATATTTATAAATGAAATAGTAATATTGATTAATATAATATATGCTTGTATTGTATGTTGGAATTATTTTAAAAATTATACAAATGGTGCAAGTGAAAAGTGATATAGAGAAGTGGAGATGGAATTGTGTGTGGATATGAGAAAAGGATAATTTAGGTATTAAAAGAAGGTATCTTTCATGGTGAGTGTTGGCAATTAGAATGGACAAGGATATTTATTCGCCAACCGGATTACAGCGACACCGGTGTTTGTATGTATGGACTCTAGAAACGAGATTTGATTTCTGACAGAGAAAACAAAATCAGCCTTCTGGTTGTGGTGATCCTTTTCTGGGGATTGGAATTTGGTTCCTTTTAAGGGTCCCCTCCCATCCCCAATCTGTAACTGGTTAATGTCATGCGCAATTGAATTGACCTCATCCTCATGCATGCATTAATTCATAATTCATAATTCATAATTCATAATTCATATTCAACCGTGATTAATTATTAGTTTTATTGATTAATTAATCAGGTGGGATAGTCGACACTCGGTAGTGGTGCCGGACAGCAACATCTTCTACATCATAGCGTTGCTCCGATTTATTCCACCACCCCCGAAGGGACCACCTACGGAAGTGTTGGTGGAACAAAACCATGAGATTATTCAGTTATGCCACAACAGAGGCTTTGATTTCAAGTTGTATCTCCCTCACTACCAGTCGCAGGAGAACTGGATGCGACACTATGGAGATAAGTGGACCAGATTCGTCGATAGAAAGGCCACCTTTGATCCCTTCGCTATTCTTGCACCTGGACAGAAAATTTTTTCACGAATCCCTCAACCCTTCCCTATCACATAATAAATTACTATATATATTGTTTTTTCTCTGTCATCATTTCATTTTTCCTTTTCCTTCTGTCCCCAATCGCTCCAACCCTTGTACCCATATTGTAAATCAATATTTTGGGCTCAAATTAATATCAATCTTCACCCTTTCCACTCTCAATTATACTTTTTCATTTTTCTATATACGCACACCATTGTATGGACTATGTATAATCCATAATCTATAATTGTTCATTAAAATAATCCCCTTCCAGATATTTCAGGATACTTAAAGGAACTCATCATCTCATAAATGTTAATTTAAACAATATTTTGCTAGCAAAAGTCACTTCTTTATCGGTACAAATTAATTTTTAATTATCATCTTTAGAATATTGTATGAACTGTGCTATTTATATACACACATTTAAATGTAATCAAAATCTGAAATTATTAAAGATGAGTCAGTCCTCTTAATTAATAGAATATCATGATTCAAACTCAAGACTATTTACATAAAGTATCTATAACCACTCACTTGATGGTTGTCGATTAATGATTTGATGAATCGAAAACATATAAGTCAATATTATTGAAATTGCCATGATGAGGGTCGTAAAAAACTAAGGGTTCGAGATTTATGACGCGTATGTATATACATGGGGCATTTTCATCCTATGCGAGTGAACTAGGTACTAGGTAGTGCTTGTCAACGAGTCCTTTTCCATTTTGTGTCTTTAGAATTTTGATCTTTGAGATCAACCTACGTGCCAATCATCAATTCGGAGCGCGCACTACATGTATATATGTCTTATCTGGGACAATATTAACTGGCCTTGATCTTGATGTTTCAGTTGAAGTTTGTTTCGTCCTTAGCTAGCTCATCAATCGTGGTTAACTGTTGTTGCTTTTAATTTTTTGGGGTCCAAATCGAATTCAAATTAACTCGAAAACAGGAAAAAGTAAAACATGTATATATATTTTTTTATATAAATATATAAATGTGAAAGTGAAGGCACTTGGGTTTGGAGTTAGGTATATATGGGATTCTTTATTCCCTTTTGTAGCTTTTTCAAGTGAAAAGATCAAGTCTAATCCAATAAAAGAAGCTAAAATGTGAAGGAAAGGTTTGGGTTTGAACTGGTTTCCACAAATCCTCGGGCTCTGCCTGTTTGACGCGAAAATCAAACAAAATCTACTTGGTTTCTTGATTCTCCACTTTCATATTCTTTTTCTTTTGGTAAGTTTTGTTCTCTTTCGCCTTGTTCGTCAGTAATTTCCTTTTACTCTTATTAAAAGTAGAGAAAAGTGGGAAATACTCGGGGTCCCCTACGTAGCTTTAGAAGGCAATAATAAGATCATGATTTCTTGTAAGAAGCACCACCCAATCACATTGCGTTACGCGATTAGACTCATGCAAAAGTAGCATCTACGTTCCATGGTAAACGTGTCATGCACGGACGTGTTTATTTTCATATCTATATCTTAAAGTCTAACACAGTACGGACGCGTAACTCATGCGCGTGTAATAATAATACCATGCTATCTTGCTTACTTAATACTTACACCTTACACCTTCCACCTTCCACTTCTACCTGGTTTAGTTTAGTTTAGTTTACTCCCCCACCCCACCCATGTTCGCTTTTTCAAAACACCCTTTATGCTTTGTTTTGGTTTACAAAATCAAAAACCAAAAACATTAAAGAGATTGGAATTTAATAGTATAAAGCACTCTTATTATAGCTCTTTTATAGTTTTTTAATCATTATGGAAACAGTGATAAGAAGAGAAGGGCAAAATTAAGATAAATTAAATAAATTTACAATATTTTAGGGTGTATTTGATTAAGTTACAAAATAAATAAAACGAGAGAAATGTTTAAATCATTCGATAACTTTTTTATTTTGTACATTGTTTAATAAATAATAAATAATATAAATGAAATAATATTAAATTTATTATCGTATCTTTATTGATATTAATTAATATAATAAATTATTATTATTATTACCTTAATAAGAATGATGGTGACCAAAATTATGATGACGAAAATAACATTGGCAATGGTGGTAGGAATGGCGGTGATAATAAGTGTTACTAGAAAATTGATTAGTATTTTTCATATTTTATAAAAATAATATTATAAATAAGTAACTTCTAACTTCTTCAATGATTAATCTTTATCATAGAAATGATATTTTAGTCTATGTATTGTAAATTATATATATATATATATATACATATAGTTAATTTTCATATAATTAAATTTTGTAATAAATAATATTTTTAAATATATAAATCATATAACTAAAGTTTATAATAAATGAATTTTTATATATAAATAATTCTTTAGATATGTAATTAATTAATAAATATTTCAAATAGATAAGTTGTATTATAATTAAATATTATAGTAAATAATTTATATATATATATATATATTATTTTAGATTTATTTTATATAAAACTATTTTAATATTGGAAATTATTTTTAAAATATATTATAATTCAATATAAGAATGTCGATTAAAAAAAAGAGTATACTTAAGGCGATACATGGTTAAGAATATTAAATATATATAAAATTGTAAAATAAAGATAATATGAGATGGTTGAGAAAATTTATTTTAATTATTAATTAGAAACTAAGTTTATGAAATGCATCTCCAACAAAGAGAAGTAAAGTTTATTAAAAAAATCTTGTTTTTAATTTTTTTTATCAAATTTCTTAATTTTATTGAAAAGTGAAAAAAAAATGATGTGATTATATTTTAACTTATTTCTAAATTTTATTATCTCGGATTCTTTATTTTATACTTGTTAACGTAAAAGCATTACGTTGGTATTTATTTATTTTATTTTCATGCTTAATTATTAATATATTACACATTATTTATAAATTTTTATTTTTAAATTTTACTTTCTCTTGATAAATTTTAATATATATATATATATATATATTAATCATAAAGAATGAATATTAAAACAAACATAAAATAAAAATATCATTAGTTATGATTAATTTTAATATAACAAAGTTCATTACATTCTAATCATTAATTTTATTTTTTCTAAATTGGTAAAAACATTAGCAACTAAAAAAATGTATTGATTCTTAATATGTCATGAAAAATAAATTATAATAAGAATTTTTTCAAAATATTTTTTTAATAATTTTCAAAACAAATAAAATAAAAAGTTAAGTTGATGAAATAATTTAAATAATTAATTAAAATTAATTGATTAATTATAATAGAGGAGAGTTCAAACGATACTGGTGTAATTTTTACTAAGTATTATATATCATTCAATAACTTTATATTAAAAGTGAATTTTGCAAATCCAACCATTGAATTATAACTTCATATCACTTTATATGTTTATATCAAATTTTGTTAAAATTGAACAACAATTTAAAAGTAATTAAAGTATTCATATTTTATTATATTCTGAAATGTATATATTATGTCAATTTTGTTTTATAAGAATGAAGTATCAAATCGTCTTGGATTAATATAAATTTTTGTATATATGATCTAAAAGTAAAAAACTTTCAATCTAACGATTGAATTTATAAAATTTAGGCTTAATTGCATTTTTGATCCCTCAAGTATTACAATTGTGCAATTTTGATTCCCAAAGTTTCAATTGGGTAATTTTAGTCCCTAAAGAATTGCAATTGTGCGATTTTGGTCCTTCAATTTTTAATTGAATAATTTTAGTCTCACAAATATCATAATTGTGCGATTTTCATCTCTCCCATTAAAAATTTAATAATTTTAATATATATATATATATATATATACAATATTTTAAAATTATACAATTATTTGTCTATTCAAATTAACGCATATTATAATTTTCTTCAATGTATCAAATGATAAATATTTATTTTTAATAAATAAATAAATTATATATATTTTTATAATATTACTCATAAATTAATATCAGTAAACAAAAATATAAGTATATTAATTAGAAATATACATATCTTTTCTTATATATTTATATTTTTGTAAAAATATATTAATATATACTAAGTCATATTTATCAAATTATTAATTTATCTATAAATATACTAATAATATTATTGATATTAATTTATTAATAATATTAAAATACTAATAATATATAAATTTTATTTATTAAGTAATAATAAATATATATCATTTGATATATTAACAAAAATTATAATATACATTAACTTAAATAATCAAATAATTGTATAATTTTAAAACATTATATATATATATATTTAAATTCAAAAATTACTAAATTTATTAATGAGAAAGACTAAAATCGTACAATCATAATAGTTGAGGGACTAAAATTGTTCAATTAAAAATTAAGGGACTAAAATCACACAATTACAATCTTTTAAGGACTAAAATTACTCAATTAAAACTTTAAGGATCAAAATTGTACAATTACAATACTTGAGTGATCAAAAACACAATTAAGCCTAAAATTTATATTTAATATAAAGTTATTGAGTAGTGTAATATTTAATAAAAGTTATATCAGTGTGGTTTGAACTCTCATCATTATAATATTGTAATTAATTATATATGTGTGTATAATATTGTAATTATAATATTATAAATTGAAGACTAATTAACGTTTTATATCTGATGTAATTCTAAAATTGTATACTCCTGACACGTATGTTTAGACTTAAAAAAATATTTTTTAAAATAAGTGATATATTTTTAATTGATTCTTATGTAAACATAAGTCGGTTCGTGTTAAGTTACAGTTATAAAAAATACATACAGTAGTTTTGTTTAACATTTATGTCTCTCTAGCAGCTTCTTTAATTTTATTTGGGAAGCAACTCAAAGTTGCTTTTCTAGAAAAACGGTTATTCTTTTATTCACTTCTAATTATTAAAAAAATTACTTAAAATTTCAATAAATATTGTTTTCGTAAAACATGTGTCTTTTTTGACAGATTAATTAAAAAATAAACAAACAGGCTAATCCCATAAAAAAATAATATAATTATTCTCCTTTTAGTTGCAAAAAATGATAACCAAGTTCGGGATACATTAAATGAATGGGAAGTGGGAAGCCAATGTCTCTTCCAACAAAATGTCACGTCCAAGAAACAGAATAATTAATCACTGTCTTAATGACATTATGTAGCTCAATTCGTATACTCTTGTTATTGGTTATCTTAATGA